GCTAAAAACAGGAAGAAAAATTCAAGATTCCACTTATGTTGGAATTTTTAAACATAAACGGAAAAAAGAAGCAAGTGCCTCTGGCACAAGGTCCCCCTCTGTTCAGAAACTCAGTTTTGGAGTGTTAGGTTTTGCATGGAAAAAGCAGGGTGGATGGGGAGGGGTTGATGAAAGAAAGAAGGGAAGATAAATAAACATTTCCTACATAACACTTTGGGTTTTCACAGGATTTTAAAACTGGGGAAAAAAATATAATATATTGACTATCAACATCTTCTCAGTTTTCATTTTGAAATTAATTTTCATCATAAGATAACATTTCTGCCTTTGATAATATATTCTTACAAATCAGTCTAGATGTCTCATTACTATTATCTCCACCATATGGCACAAAAGATATTCTTTTATTTCTAAAAAATTTATTCTTACCACCCACACTTTAATGTGGAAAAAGCCTAAAAAAATAAAAGCCAACACTGGAGTACAAAATACCAACCACATGCACCTTTCACTATTTATCATTGACATGCAACAACTCTGACTAATGCAAGGACAGTGATCAGCTGCAACTTTTGCCCGTATAATAACAAGCTTAAATAATCAAGAAATAGAAAAGTAGTATTTGGGAATATATGGACTCAAATAACTAGTTTGATCGAAGGTTCTTGCAGCTAAGGCACCTGTGCTTATTTCCTCTTAGGAAGCAGCAGATGCTCTGGCAGTAGATAGCCAGGCATCTTTGCTGACAATGCACCAAACCTCTCAGAATCTCCTGACAAGACCAATTAAAGCAGGTCTTCAGATCTGTAACTAAGCAGGTTTACTAAAAAAAATCTGACAACACAATCTTCAAAATTAGCACCTCTGACACCACAGCCAGAGAATAACTGCTCTAACTAATCTATCTGTCAGTTGGTTTGGACAATCTGCAATTAAAAGTCTCTCTGAAGTCCCTTACCAGCAAAAGAGAAGGAGCAGGAGTTCATTCAGGAACAAAGACATCAGGGAGAAGATAAAAAACTGCCCTTAGGCAACCAGTGAAAGTCAAATCCCTGGTTTCTACCAAAGTAGGAGCTGGAAATAAGCAAAAAAATCTCTACATTTTATTAGACAAAAGCCACAATATGCTGGCTGGAAGATTAAAAAAAAGAAAAAAACAGACTGAAATTTTTTTGGGGAAAAAAAAAAATCTAGCGGTGTGAGAGAGAGACTGTATAAACATCAGTAAGTATGTCCAAAACAATCTGTGCTCTTATTAATGAAAATTCTAAAATTATAAAAAGACCCTCTTTTGGAGTGAAAACAGTCATCACTGTCACATGCTCCATTATGGAAAAGATTTGTGTGGTTTCCTCTTAGCAATGTAAACCAAGGCTTGAGAAATTCCACATATTTTACTGTTCAAAGCCCTCTTATGGCAACTACCAGACACTGCAGTACTAATCCACATTTAAGAATTAACAGACGTATTGGAAGAAAGAGCAGTAAGGAGTTTTGCTCCAAAATTATTTAGCATACTAAAAAGCTGAAGTTAAATAAAGCAAAGGATAGTAGCTTTAATACAGAACTGAAATCAGAGGTCAGATTCCTTTGCTCTAATGTTGGCAAGTTTCCACCAAAATTACTTGTAATATGTTGCAGAAACTATAAACACATGGTATTTACAGCAAATCCCCACTTCTTACCTCAAATCATAGGTCTGTATTTGAAGCAAAGTTTGGACTCTCAGCCAGTGTTAATAGTGCTGAGGTAAATTTGTACCACTTGAATGCTTTTTATGACCTTTATTTATGTTAAATCAAGGCTCTCTTCATGAAAGCTGGTAGTTACAGTCTCTTATGTTTCCTAAAAAGAAAAATAAACCCTATGTCTTATTCTTTTTGATTTCAAGTGGATAAAAAGCCATGGGTATCCAAGACAGTGCTGCATCCATTTTTATCTGTTTTGCTTGAACAGGCAATGACTTCATTTTCACCACTGATCTCATTAGCATAGACTTACTTGTATCTGTAGTATAAAAGCTGCTCCATAAAAGCAAATTCTATTTCTTATCACACCAGTCAAGACTTTTCAAGCTACTACTTGATACACAAATATTACACCACATACAATTGAACTAGCTCATCTCTTTCTTTTCCTTATTTACCTGTAGAAATAGCTTGTGTATCTGTTCAAAAAGACAACAGAGATGTTGATTTCCACAATATACCGATGGAGTCAGACTTTGCTAATGACCAGATTCCTTCATTTTTGGCCCGGTGTCTCCATAGGCCACTTTAAAGAGGAACTGGAACTCTTCTACACATTTTACAAGGCCCTTTTAAAATGTGCGGTATTTCTGTTTGCCAGCTGGCATGTTTTCAAGGCACTTCTGGTTGATCCGTAACATATACAAATAGGAAGAAACACGAAAGAGTTTAATAAAAAGAAATCTGTCATGAGAACAAAGATTATATCATGTTCCAGAGTATTTCAATGAGCACCCACTAAAAAGAGATCTCTAATTTTGGGGTCGACACTTCACAGTGAAGGAATCAACCAGAAGACTGTGTTTGCTGCAAAGTTACTTGCTACAGCACACAATAGCAAATGATGACTTATAAATTATTTAGGGGGTGGGGGGGAGGCAGAATTTTGAAGCAGTCAGAGATGCAAACATCCAAGTGTGAATTTTGGCTGCAACTAAACTAAACAATAGTAATGAATCTAGTAAAATCTACCGTAAAAGTAGGGTCTTCGCTTCTTTTTCCTCTGCAGGTTTCCAACACTACAGTTATCAAACCACACAGGTTTATGACAAAACAGAGAGTGCTTTCATTATCCTGTGTCTTTAACTACTATGCTGATGAGACACATAGATAGTGCTTATTAAAATTATGGATACACTTTATCCTTCCCTAGATACTCACTTGCAGTCTTCATTTAAATCCTTAAATTCTTAACTCCACAACATGGGAAGAACTTTCTTGGAAAGAATTCCTGATCATAGAGGAAAATGTGTCTCTCCTGCTGTACCGAGCAACAAGAGGATCTCCCAGTCCCAGGAGAGCACCTGGGGCAGGGAGAGGGGCCACAGCTTCCTCAAGCAGGCATGCCCTCAAGAGCTGAAGGTAATGTCATACTATAAGTATATACCCATATTATAGCTACCAGTGCACACAGACTCCCAATTACAAAGGACTTGAAAGCTGTGCAGAGAGATCTCACATAGCACAACTCTCCGCACAAGATGCTCAACTTCAGACCCTCTCATGTTTCTTTTCAACCATGTTTTAACGCCCATTTTAAAACACACCATCTGCAAAAGCGATAATATAGAAAAGCTTCTTTTTTTTTTTTTTTCCCTTTTTTTAAAATGCTTAATGGTTTCAACATTTGTTTTTTTGAAACTGGGTCTTTAATGCATGCAATGTTTTATGCCTGTAAAGAATAGTTGTTTGAAGTGAAGAGAGAACACTGAAAAAAACTGAATCAATGCCCCTTGGCCTGCTTGATCTAGTCCCAATTTCCCTGCATTTCAATCATATTAAATTCCATTCTCCGCAGTTTAAAATGTCAATTAACTCAAGAGAAGTCCCATTAGACAGGGCAGACACTGGATTCTCCTGACTGTTTGACACTTGTTGAAATGTACCTGTAATTGATTGCAAGATAACTACTGTTAAAAGCAGTATATACTGTCACTGTTTGGAAAAAAATGTTTTATAAACAAAAAATAAATTTGTCTTTTCAATTCAGTCACACCCTGTAATTCCAACTCAGATTTCTTTAGTTTTATTCCACAACATGCTGAACAAACATTACTGAAATAACTCTACCAGGACCCCATCAGCAAAGACTGGATTTTTTCCATATGGAATAAATATTGGTATCATTTTCCATATGGCTTTGCTTACTTTCAGTTCTAAATATGAAAACAGCACAAACAGAAACAGACATAGAAGAGTTATCGAATTCTCTTAGAGCCAAAACCTGGACACAAATGTAACACCATAAGGCAAACAGGTTTGGACTCAAAATGAAATTCCAAGATTCCAAGTGCTATAGGAAGCAGCTGCTAAACTCAGAACACATCACTGCATTTTCATCAAACCTTGGGGTTTGGGTTTTTGTTGTTGTTGTTGTTGGTTTTAAAGTGTTCACAGAAAATTAATTTGCCATTTTGACAGCCCTAATATGTAAAGCCTGGGCAAAAGAGCAACTGTAAGCATTGAAAGGCTACTTCCCACTCCCAAACAAACAAGAACAACTATGTTCCTGAAACCCAGCCAAGCAGCTGTATTTCAAAAAGGTTCTGTTTCATTCCTAATTTGGAAACAAAGGAGACTGCTTTGTAATGTATTATTTGCATTACCCTAATAATCTAGAAACCAGATTGTGTGCTAGAACATACAAAAACTTAGCTGGTAATTTGGCAGCCTAGACTGTATCATCACATATTAGGCCTCTTTATTAACAGACCTTTGCTTCATGGGAGTAAGGTGCCAGTGAAGTATTTCAAGGAAGACAAAAATTACATGTTACGTGAAAGTAAGGGAAAGAAAGAGTTTTGGCTTCAAGCTGCTTGCTGTCTGGCTGTTCGTGCTTCATGCAACACATGGCAATTTATAGGCTGATCAGACAACTACCCATAATGACAAATGAATTTGGTAGATCATTCTAAGGATTCAGTTCTGACAGATAGTCAGCAGCTACAGCAGCAAGTAAGACACCTCCAACTTCACTGCACTCTTCAGTTTTTACAATGCTGTTTTTACTCCAATAGAGTATCCCCCATTTGCACAGATACTTCTTCAGAGTTGTTTTCATCATGCTTGAGAAAGCCGTAAGCAGGGGAGAGATATTGCTCCTTCTGGTATAAAGTCTTGTTTCACTTTCATTGCACTTCTGTATTTGTAGTTAGAAAATACACGAGGAAGGACAGAAGGGCCACGTCTCTGCAGTCAACTTGTTAGACACTGTATCAAAGTTATTACTGAAAGAATATTTAATGAACTTACCAGTGGAGAAAACAAGAACTGTGTTGTCCCAAAGACCATATCTTTTTAGAGCATCAGTAAGATTTCCTACAGCTTCATCCATAAGAGTCACCATTGCCGCATAATGGCGCCTCTTTACATCTTTAATGGAGGAATATGGTTTCATGTATTCTTCAGGGACCTCAAGAGGATCATGGACAGACTGAAAAGCAAGGTAGAGAAAGAGGGGCTGGGGTGGAAGGGATAGAATGGAAATTAGTTGAACATAAAGTAGTACGTGCAAAAGTTACTGCAGTAAAAGCAGCCCTGATTCATCAACAGCTGCAGGCACTGTGTTTTGATTTATTCTATACTTCTCTCTTCTAATCCCTAAACGTAAAGTAATAAAACTTTGATAAAGGACTTTTGCGAAGCTGTGAAAAAAACATAGGGTGTGTCTTTTCTTCATAACACAGTTGTTAACAGTTTCTTTCTATGAAATTTCTCCCATTAAACTTTCCATTCTCTTTTTAGAAGAGCAAATTACATGCTATATCATTTCTATAAATTCATTATTTGAATTGTTAAAAAATAAATGGAGAAGGGTAGCAGGCCAGGGCTGTGCAGGCAAAGCTGATTCTGACAGCAGACAGGGCAAGTTTTACCTGTGATACTTCTCAAGTTTAGCTCTACATACCCTCCTGAAAAGCCCCGAATTACAGCTCAAGGGCAGGTCTCTCCATTAATATCTCATTAAAATTTTTTAAACATTCTTTAGTGCTAAAGTTATCAAAGTAACAGATGCTAACTGTACCTTCTCAGTTTTATGATTGGCTATAAGGTGTATAGCTCTTTCTGTGAATAAATTAGTAGAGTACATGTTTTTAAATCTTGTTGCAACTTCTTCTCCATCTCGGAAGTCCAAAGCACAGCGCGTTACGTTCTTTGCTTTGATGAGGACACAACGGTCATGAGAATAATAATCCTCACTCCCCAGAAGATAGCCTAGAACAGGAAACGATGTCAAATAAGCAGGCCAACATAATGTCGTATAAACAGACACATCAGGAGAAAAAGAAGTCAAAACTTTAGTGGTTTTGAGCTGAAAAACACTCATCCAACATTTGACCATCTGTAGTGACATCCCTTGACATTTAATACTTCATAGACTTTTTATTGCTAACGCAAGTAGTGATTTCAAATACTTGGTATCAAATACATTAGCATTAAACTAATGAACTGATAGCAAAGGCAGCAACCTATCCAAGTACTAGTTTGATTTTTAGCTGCTATGATTTTGTGTATTTGTATTTTCACATAAGACTTCTCTCTCTATTAGAAAGTTTGGGGTTTTTTTATTTATCCAAAAAACATCCAAGTATGAAGCATTTTTGTCAGCTGTAAAGCAACTTCTGATCCACTGCTGACACCAACTGGTGAAAAAAAGACACTATTATTTAAAGATACCAAAAAGAAAGTATGCAAAAATTCAAGAGGTATAGATTTGCTCCTGTCAAGGGCTATCCTGTTAAGCACTGAGTGCCTTTCCTTTTTATCAACCAGAAACAAATCTCTTCAAAATTTGTCGAATCTCAGTAATTACTTTGGAAATTAGATTTCAGATTTATTCCCCAATACCCTGAAAAAAGATGAATCTGGAAAAATATATTCCTAAGTCCTGCAAAACCAAACTAAAATTGGGGACAAAAACCCAAAATGGAGGAAATTAATTTGAGTTTTATTCAGCAGCTTCAGGTACAGTTACTTGTGCAAAAAAGTATACACAACAAGAATGAACTTCTGTTTTAAATACAATATAAACTTCTAATACATTTTCAGGAGGAAAAAATGGCTTTTGTTTCAAAGCACAAGGCAGACTGCCTGTATCAATGTACGCAGAGCCACAAGTTGCATTTTTCCATTTTGAGTGCCCAGCAGGGGAGACACCGCATTAAGTTTGCCAAAGAATCAAATGCCCCTTAATGGCAATCAACACCTACTGGAATTATATGAACGTTATAGTATATTAAACTGCTACACTATCTGAAAAATAATGTCACACTGGGCACCCAGTGACCATGCCCAGAACCAGCCTGTATTAAGGCCCCTGCATTAAAAGCCTGCTTGGTCCCAGGGTGAGATTTCATGAGGAGCACCAGCCTATCTACATCTATGCTGTCAAAAAGAACCCCAGCTCCTGCAAAGGGAGGCATATATGTTTAAGCAATGAGATGTCATACTACAATCCATATATATCAGCTTAATTCAGTTGTGAAACCACAGCCCCAAGATCCCTGAAGAGTCAAAAGAGACAAACAATCTAAGGGAACAGCTCTTCCCACCTGAAGTTTGGATTGCCTGTCCTGCTTTTGGCTAGGATAGAGTTAGAGCTGCCTGCTGGCTTAAACCATGACAGTCCTTTTGGCACCTAATGTGGGGCTTGATGGCTCGAGGTAACAACAAATCTGACCAGAGCACTTTAGAACAAATTTGTTATAATTATTAGTTATATTAGTTTGAGAGTCACTGGTCACAGCTGATTAATTTGCTCTCAGGTTTGTTTTGCCCATTGTCGGAGTTGTGTTATGTTAACACCTTACTTGCTGTATATGTTCCCTGTCGTACTGTTTGTCACCACTGGGAGCTAGTCAAGGTTATGCTTTTCCTGTACTTTGTAGCACTGGCTTACAATACCATAAAATGGCTGGTCGTGAGACTACTCTGGTATTTGTACTCAGCATTGCCATCATCTCTGTACTTTGGAAGTCATCTCTTAGAAGCTATTAATAATCACACTTTTTATCTTTTCTCCCCAGAGAGCCAATTTATGGGGGAGACACCTTCCTTCACCTTCCCCTTCTCCTGCAGGCTAGTTAATTCTCTTGATAATTTTGAATATCCTTGGGATGTTCAAACCAGCATGTTCCTGTTGCTCCTACTCCTGAATGTGTTTCAGGTCTTGTTTAAGGTTAAACAACTATTTAAGAATATCACCCAGAGATCTGCCCTTAGGCTGGATAGTTATGAGTGGCAGGGTATGTGGGAGAGTATGGGTAAGTGCCCAGGACAGTGGGCACCCACAGTGTTTTGGAACTTCACCCCTGAACAAGTGCAGAATCCTGAAAACCTAGTAAAGTATTTGGAAAGAGTATGCTGTCACCCTGGCAGCTTCAGAGAGACACAAATCACTGCAACCTGCTGGGGCCTGGCCCATGCTTACCAAGCTCTGTTCAACACTATTCAGTACCCTCAAGGGGAATAGAAGGTCTCTGGATCTGATGACAAAACAACAGGCACTGCAGCTACTCCAACCCCGGCAACAGGCACTGCAGCTGAACCAAAGAACCAACAACCCATGCTGGTATCAGTTGCCCCTATACACAAGAAGAAATCTTGGAAGCGAAAGTCAGCTCATTTAGTAAGGGATGATGAAAAAGCAGGGTCATCACCAGAACAGGAACAGAAAGAACTCATAAATGAGATGGTAACCACCGAATCCCTGTCCCTGCATGAGCTGCAAGATACACAAAAAAATTTTGGCTGTCATCCAGGTGAACACATTGTCACCTGGCTGCTCCAATGCTAGGATAACTGGGCCAGTAGCCTGGAATTAGAGGGTAGGGAAGCCAAACAGCTGGGATCCCTTTCTAGAGAAGGGGGCATTGACAAAGTGATTGGAAAAGGGGCACAAGCCCTCAGCCTCTGGAGGCGACTCCTGTCAGGCATGAAGGAAAGGTATCCCTTCAAGGAAGACACTATATGTCACCCAGGCAAGCAGACCACCATGGAGAGAGGTATCCAGTACCTGAGGGAATTAGCCATGCTGGAGGTGATTTATAGCGACCTGAACAATGAGCAGGTATCCAAAGATCCAGATGAAGTCCAGTGAATGTGGCCCATGTGGCAGAAGTTTGTATGGAGCATATCATGATGATATGCCAACTCACTGGCAATACTGACCTGGAAAGACGGAGAGGAACCAACAATGGATGAACTGGTTGGCCAGCTCCAGCAATACAAAGAAAATATATCTTCCTCCCTCATCTCGGCTGTGGAGAAACTGTCCTGGGGGGTCCAGGTTAAGAGGTTAAGTCCTTGTCCTGGTTTCGGCTGGGATAGAGTTAATTTTCTTCCTAGCAGCAGGCATAGTGCTGTGTTTTGGATTTAGTAGGAGAAGAATGTTGATAACATGCTGATGTTTTTAGTTGTTGCTGAGTACTGCTTATGCTAGTCAAGGACTTTTTCAGCTTCCCATGCTCTGCCAGGCGCACAAGAAACTGGGAGGGGGCACAGCCAGAATAGTTGATCCAAACTGACCAAAGGGCTATTCCATACCATATGATGTCATGCTCAGTATATAAACTGGGGGGGGTTGGCCAGGGAGCAGCGATCGCTGCTCGGGAACTGTCTGGGTATCGGTCGGCGGGTGGTGAGCAATTGCATTGTGCATCACTTGCTTCGTGTATCATTATTATTATCATCATTATTATACTGTTACTATTAGCATTACTATTTTACTTTATTTCAATTATTAAACTGTTCTTATCTCAACCCAGGAGTGTTTCTCACTCTTACTCCTCCGATTCTCTCCCCCATCCCATCAGGGTAGGGGGAGTGAGCGAGCGGCTGCGTGGTGCTTAGTTGCTGGCTGGGGCTAAACCATGACAGTCCTACTCTCCACCTGTTCAGACCAGTATCTCAGCCATTAGGAGTAAGCGTTCTTCTGCTCAAGAGAGAGTACACACCATGGGGCACCCTGTGGTTTTACCTATGTGACCATGGAGAGGTCATGAGGAAGTGGGATGGAAAACCTATGGTGACTGTAGAGCCACGGGTACATGAGTTGCAAGGAAAAGCAATCACACAAGGGGGTTCTTCCAGGAAAATTGCTGCTCCAGTTTCCAGTGGGCAGTTCCCCAGACAGAGCAGAATGGCTGATCTTACATCTGACCTTAATGAAGAAGGGACTTCTGACTTGTATTTACAAGAAATGGGTAATGAATACTATGACAAGGGCTAGAGGGGCCCTGCCTCCAGCCAGGCGGAGGAAAGGGACAACTGGATTTACTGGGGTGTGTGGATTCAATGGCCTGGCACATCAGACCCATAGGAGTATAAGGCTCTAGGGGACACTGGTGCACAGTGTACCCTAACGCCATCAAGCTACACAGGGGCAGAACCCTTCTGTATTGCTGGAGTGACAGGGGGATCCCAACAGCTAACTGTATTGGAGGCCAAAGTGAGCCTAACTGGGAATGAGTGGCAGAAGCACCCCACTGTGACTGGCCCAGAGGCTCCGTGCATCCTTGGCATAGACTATCTCAGGAGAGGGCATTTCAAGGACCCAAAAGGGCACCCAGTGGGCTTTTGGTATAGCTGCCTTGGAGACAGAGGAAAATAAACAGCTGTCCACCTTGCCCAGTTTCTTGGAGGACTCTTCTGTTGTGGAGTTGCTGAGGGTCGAAGAACATGATCGCTACCACAGTGGTGCACCGGCAGCAATATTGCACCAAGCGAGACTCCCTGATTCCCATCCATAAGCTGATTTGTTGACTGAAGAGCTAAGGAGCGATCAGCAAGACTCGCTCACCCTTTAACAGTGCAAAAGTCTAACGGAGAGTGGAGACTAACAGGAGACTATCATGGCCTGAATTAAGTCATGCTATTGCTCAGTGCTGATGTGCCGGATATGCTAGAACGTCAGTATGAGCTGGAGTCAAAGGCAGCCAAGTGGTATGCCACAACTGGTATCGCTAATGCCTTTTTCTCAACCCCTTTGGCAGCAGAGCGCAGGCCACAGTTCACTTTCACTTGGAGGGGCGTCCAGGACACCTGGAATCGACTGCCCCAGGGGTGGAAACACAGCCCTACCATTTGCCATGGACTGATCCAGACAGCACTGGAACAGGGTGAAGCTCCAGAACACCTGCAATACATTGATGACATCATCATGTGGGGCAACACAGAAGAAGCAGGTTTGAGAAAGGGAAGAAAAAAGTCCAAAT